GTACGCGTAGAAGCGAAAAAGAGAAGTTTATAATAAAAAAAAAAAAAAAGGATCATTACTACCAATATTTATGTATATATATATATATATATATAATGTAAATCGTATAATGTATATTGTATTGTGATATATAAATATATAAATAAATATATATTTATAGGCATGAATCATGGCAAAAGTAAACTGCGGCAGCGAAGGGATAGCGGGGAGGGGAACAAGAAGAAGAAGAAGAAGAAGGTGGCGGTGGTGGTGGTGGTGGTGGTGGATTATTTCCCGGATGTAACACACGGAGATGTGGAGTCTATTGACGAGTAGTGAGGTATCGTTACTGTTATTGTGGAACACCCACCGTAGGAATAAATAATTACAAACAACCAAACAGAAAACCCTTAAAAAAAAAAAAAAAAAAAAAGGGAGGAGGAAGTTAGGATGAGGCGGAAAAAGTTGTAGGAATTATGGATTTGTGCGTCAGAGTCTTCTTTTCTTTTCTTTTTTTTTCTTTTTGTTGTTGTGGTTGTCGTTACTTTCTTATTTTATTTTCTTTAAACATCATTCACTGTTCTTTTTTCTTCCAAATTGAAATATCACGACCCCCCGCACATTACAAACAGACACAATAATCTGCGGTTCCTTGTTTTGGCGTACCATTCTTTGCTTTTTTTTTGTTGTTGTTGTGGTGGTGGTGGTTTTTTTTTTTTTTTTTTTTAGACCGTTTCTGTCGTAACGCCGATCATTCTTACAATTATTTCTTTCTTTTATGGAGATATCTCCATTTTAATATATTTATTTGTTTGTCTGTGTGTCTCTCTCTCTCTGTGTGTGTGTGTTGTTATTGCCGGGGTGTGCGATGGCGCTGAGGGGAAAGGGGGGGGGGAATGTAAAGGGAGCGAGATTCCCCCCACCAACACATGTCCCCTTTCTTTTCTTTCTTTCTTTTTTTTTTTTTTTTTTTCTTTTCCTAAAGAAAAGTGCATACATGCGTACAGGGAATTCTCTTCCTTTCTCTCTCTCTCCTGCTGGCTGCCTGGCTGGCTGGAGGGACATGTGCGGCAGGTAGAAAAAAAAAAAAAGAGGGGATGTGGGAGGGGGGGCAAAGAAAAAACACATGCGATGATGATGATGATGATGATGATGAAAGCATCCACACAACTCCCGCACTCTTTTTTTTTTTTTTTTTCACGTGACGTGCCACGCTCCGTTTCACAACACAGACACCCTATGCCCCCTCCCTTTCATATAAATATATATGGACATTGTATACACATGAAAATGGATGATTTTTTCTTGTTGTATTTTTAAGTGTCATTTTTTTTTTGTTTATTACTTTTGGATCTCTCTCTCTCTCTCTCCTTTTTTTTTGTTTTTTGTTTTTTTCTTTTCTTTTCTTGTTCTGTATGCCCTGTAGTCGTCCATTTGTACGACGTGCGTGTATGTCACTGAGAGAGAGAGAGAGAGAGAGAGAGCCATTTAGAGAAAATATAGAGAAAGAAAGGAGCGGGTGTATGTATTTTATGTGTACGAGAATGCCACAGCGAACGGTGGGGGAAAAAGGGGGGAGGGACAGAAGCCGGCATCTGCCGTGGCCACAAACAAAACTAAAAAAAAAAAAAAAAAAAAAAAACTTTTTCCTACAATACATGCGCATATAAAATATATACATTTGTATTTGTGCATGTATTATGGAAGGTGTCTGACGCAGAAGGAGGTGGGAAAAGGAATAAAGGAGCCACAAAGAACAAAAAGAAAAAGGAAATAAATAATAAAGAAGGGAAGTCAACGTGTATATATATATATATATATATGTATATATGGTTTTATGTATCTCTCTTTGGTAGTTTATCCATTATTGTAAGTACGCTTGATTTATTTTCTTTATTTTCATTGCGGATTTAGCCGTTTTCATTGCCTGTAATATTTGTACGTATGTATATGTGTGTATGTGTATGTGTGTGTTAATCTGTCCTGTCCTTTTTATTATTATTACTTTTATCTGCGATGCTTGATTTCCAGTTGTTTCCCCTCCACGTCCCTCGCAATTTCTCTCTTTCTCTCCTTCTTTCTCTTCTTTATTGGTTTTACTTCTCGCTTTAGTCCTTTACTCCCTTATATATATATATTATTATACATACACATACACATACAGATATAGATATACTTAATCTTCCTCTTGCTCGTTCTTCCTGTGTGTGTGTGTGTGTGTGTGTGCCGGGTGTAACGGTACGGGAGAAAAGGGGCGGAGGCTCAACTGCAGTAATAAATAAATAAGAGACAAAATGCCGCTGTTTCCTTCCTCTGCAATTGGACGTGCCCTCATGCTTCTCAGTGCCACCCTTTTTGGCACCGCGGCGGGCGTAGCAAAGGAGCGTGCCAGTGGCAAGCGGCTACAGCACGAGCAGGAGTTTGTCCCCATGCGTGATGCGGAGCAGATGGATGCCGCAAGGATGGTGCTCTCGCCATTCATGCAACAAACAGTAAGTAAGGGCCTTCCCTCGGACGAGCGGTTGCGATTTTTCGATGGCTTTGTGGCGAGCCTCAACTACGAACGGCGGATTCCGAATTGGGTCTTGGAGTACTTTCCGAGCCCCGCTGTGGCGGAGGCGACGGCTGCGTTGCGAGGAGAAGAAAAAGAGGAAGCAGGAGAGAATGAAGAGGAAGGCCCCAACGGGGCACGAAGGGGAGGAATAAGGTTTTTTGCAGACACAACCGTCCCAGAGGCGTTTCGTGTGACACCCGACGACTACACCGGAGGGAGAGAACAAAAGCGTCTGCAGCATACGCGAGGACTAAGTCGTGGCCACCTCGCCGCGGCGCAGTTCCACAAGCACTCCACGAAGGAGATGGCGGAGACGTTTAATATGAATGCAAACGTTGTACCGCAGGATATGACGATGAACGCCTTGGACTGGTTACGCCTAGAGAATCTAATGAAAAAGTTGCTTTTGAGGTATGAGGGTGGGATTTGGGTGGTGACCGGCCCGGTGTTCTCTCCGCGTTACGTGTATGGCGATCCGCGCTCCTGGGGTTGGACGGAGTCGCGGTCAACCTCCGCCGTGACGCCAGCAACCACCGTGAGCGGTGTCAATGGAGACATGAAAAAGGCGCGCAAAGTGGTTTGCTATGAACTCGTGGGAAAGCACGACGTGGCTGTGCCAACGCATCTGTTTAAAGTGGTACTTGGGGAGCGGGGCGATGGAAGCCACGAGGTCGCTGCATTTTTGATACCAAACGAGCCCATCGTGAGCGAGCGGCCGCTTGTCGCGTACCAAGTGCCCGTGACCGAGCTGGAGAAGAGGACGGGACTGCAGTTCTTTCAAAAAGTGGTCCCGGCAAACGATACGGCTTCTACATCGTGGAGAGGCCGCAAGGCGCAGAGACAGGGCTTGGACGCACTGCCAAACATTTGCAGACGCATGTCGTGCGAAGCGCGCACGGTGGCGCTGTTTCAAACGCAAAGGAGCATCGCACAACTGCGGGCGGCACAGTCGCTGCCGGAATTGCAGCAGGTCTTTACCCGACTGCTGGAGGAGCGTCGGCAACAGCGCCCTGGTGAAAAACGCAACCATCTGGATACTGCCGTGATGAGGGAGTACGAGGATCGTAGAAAGGAACTGGCGGAGGAAGCTCTCAGTGAGGGGAAATAAGGGACAGCCCGTGGGAGTATGGTTTGTTTGTTTGTTTTTCTTAGTCTCTGTGTATGTTTGTTCCATTTGCCGTGCCTATCCCACTCAAACTCAATACATGCAACCGTCAGTCCGCACGGCGCTCTTCACATTTGTCGATGAATAAATGAGTGGCATATAGAAAAAATAATAATAATAATAATTGTCGCCTCTCTTTTGCTTTTTCCTTCCTTAACGCACCGTGCAGCCTAAGTTGATTTTTATCGGGAGTGACAAGGACGAGGGAAGGGGAAGAAGGGAAGAGGGGATGTTGACAGATTTTGGGTGAGAGCGATAGTCACATACGTGTCATTGCAATTTAGAATGTGTAATTTTGTTCGGTTTCACTGAAAACCGACATTCTTCTGTTTTTGATTGGCGTTGCCGTTTTTGTTGCTGTTTATTTGTTTTTGTTTTTTGTTTGTTTTTGTTTTGGTGCGAGATCCAAACGACAGGGGCGGGGGGGAGAATTCCTGCCCTTTTTTATTGTGCCCCCATCGCGATTGTTCCGCAGGGAGAATTCCTGTAACGCATTTAGACCGCCACGTCATTTTTGGGGAAGTTAAAAAAAAAAAAAAAAGTGTGTTTAACGCGGCGAGAAACGATGCACTTTGCCGTTGGGGTGCATCGCCCGACCCTTCCAGGGCGGTGGCAATGAATTGGGAAACATGAAACGCACCAAAGTGGAAATCTGCCGTATGTGTTTATGAAGAGCGCCGTGCGTGTAAATAACGACGAATTGATTTGTTTTTTTGTTTTTTTTTTTTTTTGTAACTTCTTTTTCTTTGGGGTGTGAACTTGTGTTTCACGTGCGGGGAAAAGGAAAGTTGAGTCACGACGGTGGATGCATGTTTTATGATGTGTTGGCGACAATGACGTCTTGTGCTATGTAAGAGCGAATGATCCTTTTCCTTTTCCAAAAAAAACAACAAAAAAAAAAAAAAAAAAACTTTTTTTTTTTGATGGAACGTGAAGCCACCGTTGGTTTTGAATTCAGGGAGGACGGAAGATTTGGGGGCTTCTCTTGCGGGAATCTATTTCAGGCTACCGTTCTTAACTTTTCTTTTTTTTTTCTTGTTTGTTTGTTGTATCGCACGGTGGAGGCCTTGTGGTAGGCAAGCTGAGATGAATCGCGTCGCTGTGACTCTGCATGTATGCGTTGAGGGTGTCGTTTCCAAATCTCTTTTTTTTTTTTTTCTTCTGCTGACTGCGTGACCTTTTTTTTTTTTTAATCCGTTGTTTTTTCTTTGTTTGTGATCTGAGCATATTTCTTGCCTTCCGTGTGTGTGGGTGCGTTGATTAGTTGTGGGTCTCATGCGATTTTCTGCTCCAGTCACTTTAGGCGCCGCCATCGGCGTCTGCATGCTCTCTGCGATGGGTGTGTTCGCGGCAACGAGAAGGGAGGCCTGCTTGGCACGGATGTATCCGCAGAGTGCCGGTTTCTACGGTGCACTGGGTGCTGCTGTCGCTCTTGTGTTTGCGAATCTCGGTTCTGCGTATGGCGCCGCTAAGGCTGGTGTGGGCGTGGCACACCTGGGGCTCTCCGCACCGGAAAAGATCATGCGTGGCATCGTCCCTGTTGTTATGGCAGGTATTCTCGGCATTTACGGTCTCATTGTGGCTGTGATCATCAACAACAACATCAAAACCGAGCCGTACTCGTACTCGATCTTCTCGGGGAATTTGCATTTGGGAGCCGGGCTGGCGGCGGGTTTAGCGGCGTTGGCGGCGGGTCTCTCGATCGGCGTCGTTGGTGACACCGCCGTGCGGGCGTACGGTAAGCAGGATCAGGTGTTTGTAGCGATGGTGCTGATGTTGATTTTCTCTGAGGCCCTTGGCCTGTACGGCCTTATCATTGCGCTCCTGATGAACAATCAGGCCAACCGGTACGGCGCGCTTTGTGGGGTGGAGTGATGGCAGGAACGGCGTGCCGTTGCTTGGCACAGAGAAATGATGTGGCACCTCCATTCCACTTGTGGGTTGGCGTGTGTCTATGCCGCCGCCCCCTGGCGTGGTCATTGCTTCACGCAGCGAAACACAGCTGAATTTGAGAAGAGGAGTGAGAGATTGTGTGAAAGGGAAGATAGGAAGAGTTTGGTGAGGAGGTGTCAGTGCAGATTTCCGGGAAACAAATTCCAACTGGCTTACTTCCCTCTTATCCGCTTGTTTTGTTGTTGTTGTTTTTGATTCCTTTAATGATTTGTTTTCTTTTTTCTTTTTTTTTTTTTTTTTTGCCAGCGACAATTCTTTGAGGCACCGAATCTCACAGAAGGGAAAATTATCGTGGGCCAAATGTCAACAACTTGTGGCTTTAAGGGCTGCTTGAACCATGCGTACTTGGTGATGCCGGTATGTAACCACTGCGGGAAGCGCATGTGCACGGCTGCGGCGACGCCGTGAAGAATGCATCGCAGCGCCAGGCAACCGCGGAGGCGGCGGAGATGCGGCGGCGGCGCAAGCACCTTGGCCTCGATGACGTTAAGGCGCGGTTGGATCGCCGCCGGGAAGAACTCGCGACACAACGAAAGAAAAAGTCATCGAAAGGGAAACAATGACTGAGAGCGAAGCCACGGTGTATTTCACGGCAATTCAGTGTGGACTGAGGGTGAGTACGCAATTGTGTCTTTTTTTTTTTGTTGTTTTGTTTTTTGGAAGGGAAGTGGAGATGATGGCGGACTCGATTGCTGGATGATTGGGGGGACGATATTTTGCCTGCGACACAGTCCCAACTTCCCTCTCTTTCTCCTTCATTCATCCCTCTCTTGCGTGACTGGGCGTTTTGCTTTATTTTCTTCTTGTTTTTGCCATTATTGGCATCATGGAGTTTGTTCCAGCCTTGCGGACTGCCGGCAAGGACCACGATGTGTTTGTCAATCACGGCGGCGCGTACTGGCTCAACCCAGTACCGCACGGCACGTTCCGCTCACGCAGTGCATGCACCATAATGAAGGCAACGGAAACCATTGACCCTTTTGGCAACCCCAAACGACCCGATAGGCCCATTGTGTTTGGATTGTCCCGGTACAGCACCGCCGACGACAGGCTCAACGCCGCAAAAGGGGAAACAAACGGTGCTGATACCGAGATAGTGGCCGATAATAGGCGTGTCGAAGATGTGGCCAAAGGCGCGGATGCCGCTAGCGCGTTTCCACGAATGCATACGGATAACAGGGACGAAGTTGACTCTCATGACACTTTGCCCTTGCCTGCGCCGCCGTCTACCGACGCACGCAGTGCAGAAGCCACTGCTGTTAACGGTGACAAAGTGTCTTATTCAAGCGAAGTAGTGGTTCGTGAGAAACTTCCACTTGACACCACCAACCCTGAGCGCCGCATTTTGCATCCAGGCAATCACACAATTCGCGTCACTCCCACAGGTGGAACCGCGTACAATGGCACCGTCGGCGAGTCATGGACGGCACCGAGAGCGGTAGATGGAACCTATCTGCGTCTAGCCCCACTGTATGAGAGCACAACGCACTACCAGCTACGCACTGGCCTCTCCTAAACAGAGGATGAGGCCCCGGCACACGGCATGACGCTACCGCCCAACAGCTCTCTCCCTACACGTGAATGGTAGAAACAGCCGAATGAAATGTAAAGTATGAATTTGTCTGTCACATAAAGGGCGCTAGAGGACAGCAGAAAATGACAGGCATCCCACATTTACAGCACATAGGACGTGTGCTGTAAAGGAAACTGATTTTCTTATAGTAACCATTATCAGTGGGTTTTCTGCACCTTTATTACATTGCTTGTAATGCCACTATCATAGCTACCCTGTCGGATCTTCACAGTTTTCATTTCTTTTTTCTATCTTATACCTTTCAACCAAAAATTCAAGCCATGCGCCAGCCACGCCACACCGCGCCGCTGCTGCCGCTGCTGCCGTGGCTCATCATGGTGGTGTGTTGCGCCGGTGTTTGCGTTGCCGCCGATCGCGCCGTGAAGCACCGCTGTGGGTTTGACGCGATGATGAAGAAATACGGCCGGCTGCCGACTGCGGTGGTGCGTGAGGTGCCGCGCCGGGGACAGGGCGCCGTGCAGGCGTACACTGCCACCAGCGAGGATGGGGACGATGGCTGGGCTCCGATCCGCATCAAGGTGTCCGCGGAGGACATGTACAATCCGTTGAGGCACTGCACTGCGGCGGGGGATCTGCGCATTGACCACGACGGCCGCGCAATAACATGCGAGGCGGACGACGTGTTGACGGAGGAGAGAAGGAACATTATTTTGAGGCAAATTCTCCCCGCCGCCATTCAACTGCACGCGGAGCGTCTCTCCGTGAGGCCCGTGACGCGTCCCGTCCTCATTCCTCGAACCGGTCTGGGGATGTGCAATAACTTCACCATCCCACACAAGCACCGCACGGTGGGTGTGGCTGACGCCGACATGATTATCTACGCCAATATTTTTCCGACTTCTGGTCCAGCCGCATGGGCGGCTCTGTGCTTCATGCTGGATGATGGCCGTCCAGTTGTTGCTGCCGTGAACTTTGACCCGAGGCGAGTAGCGGCGAAAAATGGATACGTGCGTATAGCAGCCCACGAGTTGGGGCATGCTCTTGGGTTTTCTGTTGATTTTTTTGTGATGTTACATATGATTTCCGAGGTCCCGAACGTGCGCGGGAGTTCCAAGGTGTCGGTGATTTCAACACCGAAGGCGAAGGCAATGGCGCGTCAGTACCACAACTGCCCCACGCTTGAGGGCATTGAGCTGGAGGACGAGGGTGGTCCTGCAACTGCACTTTCGCATTGGAAGAAACGCAGCATGAGGGACGAGCTGATGACTAGTGATGTGGGGGTTGGGCTGTACTCGGCACTGACGCTTGCAGCATTTGAGGACATGGGTTTTTATTTGGCAAACTACAGCGCGGCGGAGATGTTGTGGTGGGGCAACAACTCTGGCTGTGGGCTGCTGGAAAAGAAGTGCTTGACCGACGGCATCAGCGAATACCCTGATCTGTTCTGCAACCAGTT